AAAAACCTAAAATTAGATCGATGTACACTATTACAAAGCGTTATTAGATTAACCTATAAATTTGGGTACATACGTCCGCCTGGGGTTTGAAAAACACCCCCTTATTCAAAAATTGATTTATGAGAAAATCCCTACCCATTCATACATTTCATAAGAAAATCGCAACCCATTTATATATTTTTCCCAGTGATATCTTATTTCAATGAGATGTTAGCCACATGAGATCCGTGAGATATAAAGATCAGAGCACAGATTTTACAGATATCTTAACGGTAGATTAACTTGTATGACCCATCATCAGTGATATATTACCTCCGTGAAATTGCACCTCATTGATATATTTGCCATTCCAAAAAAGGTGACCCTGGTGTGAAATCAAAACCGAAAGTAAAAAAGAAAACTTAATCATTTAAAGATTCCCTACTTTAAAAGTTATGAAAAGTTTGTTCACCGCTGTTTTTTTACTCGATTTACGAATGTATATGCTTTTTTTTTGTAAAAAAGACAAAGCAGTAAAATATAATATATATACTTATAAATTAATACTTTACAGTCATTTCCTGTTTACTTGTTTACCTTACCTACCTGTTTACCTATACTGCAATTAACTCCCTCATGTCAGGAGAACCACCAATCTTATAAATCGGTGTAAAATCACTCATTCGGTTAAAAATCCTCAGAACTAGCTTAAAAGGTAAAACTGTTAAAACTATACAAGAGATATCAATCATCTCCTCTGGGGTATGTGACCCTATCACCATTATTTAAACTTTTCAGGATACACTATTAAAGGTCCATAATTCACATATAAAAGTTGATTCTTCATATTAAAAGGATAAAATGTAAATACACTCATATACAACACAGCATCATCTAATGTTATGTCCTTCCTTTCACTAAATTTAGAACTAAGTGTTTTAAGTTTAAACATTACTGTTCAATTAGTATTGCCCGTTGTTGAAACAATTTATGACAGATATCTCAAGATAATGTTTGTATTCTTTCCTTTGTTTTTTCACTAAAGAACATGTATTTTGAGCAGTCAACAATTAATTGACACAAATGTTCGTCGCTGGTCATTAATTCATTCGTAATATCCCGATCCTATAAATTATCTATTAACACTTCGTGTAAAAGGTTTAGAAATAAAATTGAGAATGGAAACCGGGAATGTGTCAAAGACACAACAACCCGACCAAAGAGCAGAAAACAGCCCAAGGTCACCAATAGGTCTGCAACACAGCGAGAAAATCCCGCACTCGGAGGCGGGCTTCAGCTGGTCCCTACAAAATAATGTATACTAGTTCAGCCAAAATGGACGTCACACTAAGCTCCGAAACATATAAATGAACCAAAATTAAAAAAAAAAATACAAGACTCAGTAACAGAGGCCAGAGGTTCCTGACTTGGAACAGGTGCAACAATGCATTGTGAGATCTCAACCCTCCCCCGATACCTCTAGCCAATGTGGAATAAACAAACACACAGCAATACGCACAGTTAAACTCAGTTTAAAAGAAGTCCGAGTCTGATGTTAGATAAGGTAACAGAAAAAACTAAGCAAAATGACAATAATGAACATAAATTAACAAAGGACTACTAGCAGTTACTGACATGCCAGACCTCAACCAAACTGGTTGAAAGATAATGTCTTCATCATATGAAAGTTTCTTCTTATCATCTGTAGCGCAGAGCAGTTTATTACCCTAAAGTGAAGAATATCTTCCTTTCCTTGTTTGGTTTGTCTGTTTACCTCCCCTTAATTTCCCGCCTGAATTGAGAGTAGACAACCTAGAAAAAACATTCCACTGTCAAATGATTGTTAGAAAATTCTACCATATCTTCAATATCTTGCTGAGCCTGTTGGCTGTCGCTGTAGTATTAAGAAAATCTAAAGGATTTAGGTACATAGACAACATTTTGAAAATGCAATTACGGCTATATTTACAAGGGCGTGTTTTATTGTTCTCTTATGTACATCTCCAGAATATTATATCTTCTGGTGAAGAGTTCATAAAAATTAATCTATACCTCTTCTGGAGATATTCGGAAGAAGAAGCAAATTCAATTTGGCGTCAAATATAGCATGAAATTGAGAATTGAAATGGGGAATGTGTCAAAGAGACAACAACCCGACCAAAGAGCATAAAACAGCCCAAGGCCAACAATGGGTTTTCAACACAGCGGGTTTCAGCAGGCCCCTAAACAAAAATGTGTACTAGTTCAGTGAAAATGGACGTCACACTTAACTCCGAAACATATTAATGAACTAAAATTTAAAAAAACATACAAGACTAACAAAGGCCAGAGGCAAAAATGCGGCGGGGTTAAACATGTTTTGTGAGATCTCAACCCTCCCCTATACCTCTAGCCAATATAGAATAAACAAACACACAGCAATACGCACAGTAAAACTAGTTTAAAAGAAGTCCGAGTCCGATGTCAGAATAGGTAACAGAAGAAACTAAGCAAAATAACAACAGAATGTTTTATTTTGAATGACATAATTTGGAAGTTTACAATTATGATTTATTAGAAAATTCAGTTACGTCAGCTCATTTGAAAGACATGACTTTAATAGTGTATTCTGTTTTGGCATTGATGTAATTATATAATGAGTGTAAAAACAAAAACAAATGGTAGGAAGAAATCGCTGTGTTCGTGACATTTTTCTTCATGCTTTCCTAACTTGATTTAGCTAAACATCTCCGGCTTAATCAACGCTCCGACCGTTTGATTTTCAAGAATAGTCTTAAACTACAAGAATTTGTCAATGCCGGTCGAACAAGACATCTTGTCTATATATCAAATTAGTTTAAAGTAACCAAACCGGTTTATTTTTGTATATAAAAGATATATGTATACAGGGTATACGCGGTCATGCGTTTCTTATACTGTTTATGACTTCTGTATACTAAATCCGTTGGTTGTGTACCGATTGATATTATAGTCTGGGAGAAAATGATGTATTTATTAGTTGTTATTGGCTTTGAACTAGCTTTCAGTAACTACGAGTACACTTATTTGCATTGTGTCTATTGTTTTTATGTTAGTTGTTTTTGTGCCTCATACCGATCTTTTGAGTTAAGCCAATTGCAACTGATTTTTTACAGTTTGTTCTTATGTTGTGCTGTTACATCCCTGTCCCAGCTTAGGGGTAGGAGGTTGAGCGCTCACAAACATGTTTAACTCTGACACATTCTTTATATGTCAGTCCCTATTCAGGTACCCTTAGATCAGTGGTTGTTGTTGGTTCATGTCTGTCATATTTGTTTTTCGTAAATTGTTTTGTTATAAATTAGGCCTGCGCCAATTAGCTTTCTCGTTTGAATTGTTTCATATTTTTCATGTCGGGGCCTTTTATATCCGACTATACGGTATGGGTTTTTCTCATTGTTGAATGGCGTACTGTTGAGGATTTTGAATATGAATATGCTAGTCTGGTAATATCTGATAAAAATAAGCATGCATAGCGCGATTAAAATTAATAATAAATCCGTAAAAGGCCTCCTGACCCTTCGACCCCCCTCCTAGAATATCAATTGGTCGTCCACTTACTGTTATTGTCCGTATAGTTCTATAATATAAAACCATCCATTTCTATTTTTTTTTTGGGGGGGGGGGGGGGGGGGAGGGGGGGAGGTCATTTTTCATCGGACATTTTCATTATTTGTTTTCAGTTGGAATATCCGATGGAAGATGTAATAAATGGACAAGAAATTTAAGATTATATTTTATATAAAATGCACTGCATGGCGCAGCTTGATACGACCGCAGAGGTCTAACCCTGAATAGTTGGGGCAATTATGGACACAACATTCAAGCTTGATACAGCTCTGAATTTGGATTGTGATTAAATATTTGAACATCATAGGTTTCCGACACAGAATGAATGTGGTCTAAAAACTTAAAAATTTGAAATTGGACATTTACCTATTAAGTTCCAATATCCAAAATCTAAATACATGGTAAGATTCACCATATCAAAGAACCACAAGAATTCAATTTTTTGAATGAAATCAAACAAAGTCACATATTGGACCCTTTTGATCTCAATTTGAACCAACTTGAATACGGGGCCAAATTTCAAAATCTAAATATACGGTTAGATTTAGCATATCAAAGAACCTTATTTTTCAATTTTTGTTGAAATCAAACAAAGTTGGACACCGATTTGTACCAACTTGAAAACTGGGCCCAAAATAAAAATTCTAAATACATTTTAAGATTCAGTATACCAAAGAACCCCAAGAATTCAATTTTTGTTAAATTCAAACTAAGTTTAATTTTGGACCCTTTGGACCTTATTGTGGACCAATTTGAAAACCGGGCCCAAAATCCAAAACCTAAATACACGGTTAGATTCAGCATATTATATTACCCAAAGAATTCAGTTTCTGATGAAATCAAACAAAAGTTTAATTTTGAACCCTTTGGAACTCAAATCCCTAATATGAAATCTTAATACACGGCCAGATTCGGTGTATTAAAAACCCCTAAAATTCAAGACTTAAGATTATACAAAGTATTAGAAAAATATTGTTTTTGGCCCCTTTTCCTTAACGATTAGGGCCATATCCCCCAAAATCAATCCCAACCTTCCTTTTTTTGGTATGGAACTTTGTGGTACAATTTCATAGAGATCCATAGACTTATACTCAAGGTATTGTCCGAAAACCCAAAAATCCTTGTGTTTTTTGTTGTTGTCTCTAACCCCTAAACGATTAGGCCACAACCCTTAATCAATCCCAACATTCTTTTTGAGGTATGAAACCTTGTGGTACAATTTCGAAGAGATCCATACACTTACACACAAATTATTAGTGATATAAAATTGAACATTAGTATATTAACCAATCTTTTTCTTAGAATTTAAAACAAAATAAAATGTGTGATCATCTTTCTCTCTTTTGTTGATCTGATTTACTATAAATGACTATCATAACTTGAAGAAAACAGTTAAAAACAAATTTTCTGTTAAAAAAACAAAGAGACATACATTAAATGGAATGATATTAATTTATTTTTAATGTAACATAAAATTAACAACTAAAATAGTTTGCACTGCTATTAACAGGCAATCTACACTTACATTAACTGCAAGTGAAAGTTAACATGAATCCCCATAAACTTCCAATGAATTTCCACTGCAATCGTTATTATATAAATAATTCCTGACGAAAGTTTATAGGTGACATTATAACCCGGTGTAGATTATATACAATTTTGTAAGTGTTGAACACTTGGACCATACTTTAAATAGAATATAAACAATTTGATTCCTACAGGTACTATTAACACATAATTTATACATAACATCATTTACATATATTATATAGTTAGAACACAATAAATAGGTTAACAGAGAATACCATTATAGTATTTAATATGCTCATTGGGTTATTGTGTCATCCGCCATCACATTCAATAGACACCGGTTACTTTAGAGATGTAGAAAATATCATAAGATAAAAAAATAATTTCATTCTGGTTTAAATCTATATCACTATATCACGGTAAAAGCCTTTTCACCGGATACAATTCAAAATTTAAGTACAGTATAACATTTCAGAGAATGACAAAAGTCGGAAACGTCTGTATTTTGGAAGACTAATTATTTTGTACCGATTTGATATTATCATCTTCTCATTTCTATTTGTTAAAAGGCCATTGGTCAATTAATGTTTTGTTTGCCAAATGAACTGTATCAGCCTGAAGTGAAGAAATGTTTTTTTTATTTAATTGATTGCAATATAATTAACTTTGATAATTATAGTTTAGTTTAACATTATTTTATTTAATTTTAACTTTTATTTATTTTTTAATCGTCTAGATTATTTTTTTTTTTTTTATTCAACAGATAACGTGATTGTAACTTAGTGTAAATACAGATTTTTATAAGAATTTAGTGTAAATATAGAATTTTAATAAGTCAATTTTATGGCTGGGTATTGATTGAATGTTTTAACTGATGATATATATACTGTGTATGTCAATCAATATGTGACACTATAATAAAATAAATTTATCTTTATACCTATTCATTGTAGATTATAAAGTTTAATTTCTGATAGACGTGTTTATACTAAGTAAATAAAGTTTAGCAACATATATTTTGATTTAAAAAAAAGGAAAAATTGCAAAAATTGCAAACATAACTTTTATAATCGAGTTTTTGTCGAGTGGTTTATTTTCTTAGTTACAATAATGTATTTATTGTAATTTGAAGAAGTTTACCGGTAGTTTATTTTTGATATATGATATTAAGAATATTTGTCACTGAACATTTTATTCAGTATATGTATATTAACCATCATCATTAAAGTTCAGAATTTCACACAAATCTAAATTTAGTTTTTCTCAATGCATTATCTCCATTTCTCACAACTCATTACACGACAAATGATTAGTGCTTTTAGAGGCTTACATTTCAAACTAAAAAAAAGGTGGATAGCAAACTGATGGAGTTTTCTTTACAAAATGCCGTATGTTCATCAACGAATTCAATTTCATCTTTAGTACAATTCCCGCTCTATACCTCTATAATTAATGAAAAAGAGCTTGTTTTACAATACACTGTTTCTTAAACAGCTCACACTTCATGGTGAATAGATTTCGTAAACACAAAATTCTTTGTGAAGTTTTTGTTACTGAATCCAAGATAAGATTGAAAAATGTAACGACTTCGACTTATCCTTGGATTTTGTGCCAAGCTGTAACTTGTTTCCTTGGCAACTGAATCATTTCCATCCAGTGTGCATGAGAATCGGCATCTAAATTCGGTCCAATGTAAACACGACCCAATAATCTATGTTCTTCTTTAGTCTTTCCAGCGTGTAGCAATGACACTCGGAAATAAACGCTTCCAAGCTTTTGACTTGGAACATCGAATGCAAATGTTTCATCAAACTCGGGATTAAGATCTCCTTTTTTGATAATTGTTTTACTTTTCTTAAGATGTCTACCATCGAACATTAAAGCGACCCGGGCATATGCATCTGAAAAAATATAATAAGATATAGACAGACAGCTTATTTTTCAATAAAATATTATTCAATAAGTGACTTAACGTCCATTTTTCGACTAACAATTCCATGAACAAAGATTCAAGATTCAGGAATTGACTTAAGCAAATTGAATAGTTTCGACATCTATCTTTTCGAGAATCTTGCATCAAGAAATAAATGGGACAAAATAAAACAGTTATTGTGTTACGACAGGATTATCATTACTATGTAAATATTTCAACAAATATTATGCAATATAAATGGTAATAATGTTTGATCTACCTGCTTTAAAATGGAATAAACAAATCGAAAATTTTAACAAGACAAGTGCTAGGGACCGTCTTAAAACTTGCAATGAGGTGCCATTTTTTTATTTTGTTTGCTCCGTGTTGAAGGCCTTATATTCTGTCTTTGAGATGAAGAACAGCAATAAAAGCGCTGTTCCTTTGCTTTTTTGTGTTTTTTACTGTGCATGTACTTATTTTGTGTCATGGATGGATACGCTATATCCTTTGTTTTTCTACGAAATAGATAGAAACAGGCTAGTTTGACGGATTAGCATAAACAATATGTAACTAAAACCTAGTATATATCTCTTTAGGCTCTTTAAAACCAAACTACAAGTTCAAATTGGATACCAACATGACAGTACCATGTGTTGCCTTTAATTTGTTTATTACAATAAATAAGAGAATCACGACAATAAATCAGTATAATCGATTGAAACATCTAAATATAGCATCAGATGTATTCATAAAAGCAAGATAATAGTTTACTACGGGAACGTAGTACAGCAAATTATCACGTGCAAATGATTGTGGTCGAGAAAGAGTACACGTGATTTTGCATGGTCTCGTTATGAAGTTGCTGTCGTAGACCCATTATATCAGTATGGGATGAAAGACATAGTACACTATAAAGTGATCGTGGTCAAGAAAGGACCGTCACAAAGAAAATAAGCTATATATATGATATGTAATAATACAATTACACAGGTGTTATAGGAATTATCCTACTGGGATAAACGGAAAACTGTGTTTGTCTTTCCTAAGAGATGGCTCTGATATTTTTGCAAAAATCTTTGGATAATACTAATAGTAACTTACCAGTTGTGTTATCTTGTTTATTCATTGGTCGAAGCCCACGGATTTTTACAATAGTTAGATACAACTTTTCTGCTGTTGGTAGATAATTTAGTCCTATAGAAACATCTCCTATATCTTCCTATTGAAGAAAAAAATTATTGGATTGTGTTGAAACAGATTATTATTTATAATACTTAATTTTCGTATATGATATATAACTATAAAAGATGTTATCATCGTTTTATATTAAATGCATATACTAAACGTTATTTCCATTGTATCGCATTAAACAGCTTTGCATCACAAAAATCAATTATATAAACATATGTGCAGAAATAAAATTAAAAAAACCGGACAGAACTTGAAGTATTCTAGTTGGGTCATTGAAACTTTTATTTATATAGAAGGATACTTCATTTCTATATTCCCCAAATTTTTAGGCCATTTTTCTCTATTTCTTATTTTTTGGGGGCCCATTATATTCTATTCTTTGTATTCTAACACTCAAATATTCTCTATTCTTTATTTAATTTTTTTTAATTTTTCGTCTATTCTTTATTTCTTTGTCCTTTATTCTGTTCTTCTTGTCCATTATTCTCTATTCTGTATACCCTATCCAGACCCTTATTTAGTATACGTTGCGTCAATTTATTTCGAATTTTATTTTGCTCAAACGAGTATTGACATTATAACATAAAAACTATTTGTTTTGAGTATATCGAACACGTCATAATACGACAAGTTTATACCCAGGGAAACACCAAAATTGTAAGCGAACACTAGCTTATTACCCGTGAAATTTGAATGAGATGCGTACTCCGTCTTCCAATCCAATGATAAAAGCGATGCATTAAAAGACTTTAATGCAGAATTCTAAAATGTATTCCCGTAGATTTTTGTTAGACATGTTTCTGTGATATGAATAACAACATAGTTTTACTTACGTCTATAGGAGGTTGTAGATTCTCAGAACATTCAGCGTCTTCGTTTTCCGCCAGATTAAGTTTCTTTAGTGTAAACGTTGCCTCACCCAAAACAATATGGCGGGAATATTTATCTAGGTCACACAGTTGTAATTTTACAGTATATAGTTTTAAGTCGTCTTTATCTATTGGAATTACAAAAATTTCATTAAATGTTGGATTGTCATTGTGTTTCTTCATTTTAGTTCGAATTTCTATATGTAAATTATTTATCACGTGATCCTTGCTGAGACTAAAGAATTGATATGGAACCCTGTAAAAGCGCACGCGCACATAAGGGGAGATCACTGCAGCTGTGTCACTCAAGATCATTTCGGTTACTTTTAAGATGTTAACTATTAGTTTACGTTCATTTTTGTCGTATTTCATTGTAAATTCCAAGCTCCCCTTCAGTAACGTTACTCTATGGTCCATGGAGTCAACATTAGGGACACTCAAACTCCTCTTCTGCATTAAACCATCTTTCCACTGTGCCTATAAGAATAAATCAATTGTTTGAATGTTGTGTCATATGTAATAATTGCATTATTTGCCTAAATTATACCTTATATCAGTTTACTGGATTTTTATTTGTTGATAGTCATTGTATTTTCATGTAGTTCCTTTTTTCTAGTGAGTACCTTTAGGGGCCAGCTGAAGCCCGCCTCCGGGTGCAGGATTTTCTCGCTGTGTTGAAAACCCATTGGTGGCCTTGGCTGTTTTCTACTCTTTGGTCGGGTTGTCGTCTCTTTGACACACTCCCCGTTTCCATTCTCAATTTTATCATTCATATTTTACCGCCGCAACCTCTGCAGTGGCATTAGCTAAATCGTATATGCCTTTTTTACCATTCACAGAGACGCTTGATTATTTGCGTTTTATTAAATGCAGTATATTTGCTAACATCTTGGGAGCCAAATGATATTAACTTAACCATTCCAAATGATATTAGGTATACTAAACAGGTATAGCAAGTTGAGGAGGGATATTTGCGAACTAAACCAGTCTTAAGAGAGGAATTTCCGAAAAATGTTCCTTCTCTCGACTGGTATTTTCGCAATAACCCCTCTTTGACATGACATATCTGTCATAATTTCTCAAAGAAGTTCCTTTTTTTTGGCCCCTTCAAAACGAAACGCAAGATTAAAAATAAAAAAAAATATTAATAATCTATCGAATAACATCCTTTAGACTTCAGCTATATCTTGCTACAAGACAATATTTTCCTATACGTAACTATACATATCCCTTCTTGATTGGTGTTATATACTTAGATGTTGTAATGTTTGTAATGTTGTTCGTATAATCTTCATATATACAGTAGAAATGTCTTGTCTTGTCTTGTCTCTATACACAGAGGAAATAAAGACAATCAATCAAACAATGGACGTATACCCCAAATCTCCATTTTCAGGGTCTGGGTGGGGGTCCTTCACTTCTGTATTCTGTATTTTTTTAGGCCATTTTTCTCTATTCTTTATACGTTTTGCCCATTGTCCTCTATTCTTTATATTTTAGCACCTCATTAATCTCTAATCTTTATTTTTTTGGTCCATTTTCTCCATTCTTTATATTTTTTGCCCATTATTCTCTATTCTGTAAACCCCCATCCACACCCTCAAATATTCATAATCAGTATGTGCTAAAAGTAGATATTACAATTAACATGCATTTGTCCATGGTTTATCTAACATTTTCGATAAATTAGCATTATTATATTTATGATGAATAAAATGGTATGCATAAATCTGGAAAGCAAATACGATACATTGACATAAGTGTATTAAATTATAAATTATTTTATATATATCGAATTTACATATACCATTCAAAACTTATTCATTAGCTTTCTTATATTTAAATAGTTTCTATTTTTATGGCAGTTTTCCAATTACATTTATACTGCATTTTATTAGTACATATCACAAGTTTTGACAAAACTTAAAATATAAAATGATAAAAGTTTGAGACTGGGCATATACTTTGAAAGTACTGTAATAAAAGTAAGAAGATTTTAAAAGGAAAACGGTCTTTCGATGCATAAACCGGATACGAATATGACCAATGAAACAACACAAGCATTGCAAAATGAAATACAATAAAACACAGTACAATAAGTAAAAAAAAAGCAACATTAACCTAAGGCTCTGGAATGGTAAGCAGTTTATATTAGTGGCATAGGTCCCATTTCTCATAACCAGTAAAAACAAAAACTAGAGGTATATCATATTCGACGAAAAGTTATGAATGATGTAAGATGGTCGAAATTATGACTACGACAAATAAAATCTTTTCATGTTAATCTGTGACTCAGATATTCCATAACGTTCAAATTTATCATGATGGCATTCATACAGCATTCATCAATTTTCCATGGAGAACCCTTAGTTCACTAGCTGTCTTTTAAGCAGCATCCCTCTTTCAATACAATTTCTAATAGGAAATTAATTATAATAAAACTCTGAAATATTGTAGCAAGATATAAAAAGTTTGAAATAAAACAGCTTATTGGAGAGGATGAGAATGTAGGGACAATTTAATTTGGCAAAACTCTTGTCTGCCATTGGATATTATTACCCTCATACACTTCAGTTATATGATTGTAAGTGACAACAGTCTGTATCTATGTGGACCTGAAAATAACTAGTATTGTGGATTCATTTATTTTCGTGGATACCAATATTCGTGGAGTGAGGAAAACTTGCATTTTCTTGGATATTTAATTTCGTGGCTTTGTCAAAGTTTGCATACATTCCTTTAGAAAATTTACAATTCGTTGAACATTTAAAGTCGTTGTTCCCCAGTACCCACGAAATCCTCGAAAATTGGTATCCAACGAATGATAATGAATCCACAGTATTCTAAATAGTTTACCCTTTTCATTTCTATCATGCTAGGACCACTAGAGTCGGAAAATTCTGACGATTCTTTGACGGATCCAACACGCATGCGAGGCGATAACGGCATGCACTCAGATCGAGGACTTTGACTTCCAGTGGAGGTTGATCCATATCCTTGCGCTGGATCATGACCTTGAAAAATATACAACAATGTATTGAAAATAATATAATCAAGGTCTTACTGATTCATCCAAAGATTTCTCAGGACACTGAACTCACATCGAAAATATTATATAATTCATTGCACACATCTTTATAACTAAACAAGGTTACACTCAGTTAGAGAGTTTAACATTTGTTTTAATGATATAATAGTCAAACTGAAAACGTCAGAAGGCGAATTCATTTAGATAAAACAATTTGGAATTTCATGCACTTAGGAGATGTAAAAGACAAATATGAGTTTAAACGTTTTATTTAGATCAGTATTATCTGGAAGCTGCTTAATGACAATCCATCAGTTTCTCTCTAGTATACACTGTTCAAAAAAACAATTGTATACCGAAAATCTTCATTATCTCTGCCACTACCACCTCACAAAGTGTCAAGACGTGAAAACGTGGCTAATTTAGAGGTAATGATTTTTTGTTCAAATTGCGGATATATCTTTTTTTTTCCTTTTTTTTTTTTTTTTTTTTTTTTTAGCTTCAACCACTTTTTGTGCGTATTTCTTTTTCAACGTTTAACAGTGCTCAAATTTTTACGGTAGTTATTTGAATTTTTTTCTTTAAAATCATCCTTTTTTATTCAAATGACATAACTGAAGAGAGAAATATCCCTATACTGTCACCGTTTGTCTCTCTTGGTCAACACCTTGCGGAGAAAAATAATTCTTGTGAGTACAATGTAATCAAGATGATAAAAAAAACCTTGGTGATTCATCATACATTAATCATAGCGAGCAGTGACTGAACAGCAAGTACAATCCAAAATCGAATATATGGCGATGAAGGAAATGATATTAGATAAAGACAGGGGTATTATATATGAAGTCACTGGTATAAGATGAAGGTAGTTGTATTAGATGAAGGCAGTGGTATTATATGAAGGCACTGGTATTAGATGAAGGTAGTTGCATTAGATAAAGGCAGTGGTATTATATGAAGGCACTGGTATAAGAAGTTGTATTAGATAAAGGCAGTGGTATTAGGTGAAAGCAATGGTATTGAATGAAGGCAGTGGAATTAGTGGCGTCGACGGTAATGACATACTTCTGGTTTGTTATCAATCCAATTCATAATTAAAATTGTTACTAGTATATCAAAACAACACAAAGAAAACAAAACTTCGTCTTTCTATGTTGTGATGTTACACTATTTTTTCAGATAAGGGTGAAGGTTTGGTACCATTAAAACGTTTAAACCCGCTGCAATTGTTTGCACCTGTCCTAAGTCAGGAATCTGATGTTCAGTAGTTGTCGTTTGTTGATGTGGTTCATAAGTGTTTCTCGTTTCTCGTTTTTTATATAGATTAGACCGTTGGTTTTCCCGTTTGAATGGTTTTACACTAGTAATTTTTGGGGCCCTTTATAGCTTGCTGTGTGGTGTGAGCCAAGGCTCCGTGTTGAAGACCGTACTTTGAACTATAATGGTTTACTTTTATAAATCGTGACTTGGATGGAGAGTTGTCTCATTGGCACTCATACCACATCTTCTTATGTCTAGTTAAATATTTACAGTTCAATTTTTTTCAGTCTATCATCTATATTCCATAGTTCGTGACAAATCGTTTAGAACATAAACATGGTGGTCAATATTAAAGACATGTAACCTAATCTAAGGTACACATCAATTTTGCTCCAAACAAGATAATGAAAATCTGACAAAATCAAATGCTTAACAGCAGACTAACCAACCTAATTTATATGAAAAATTTGAGACTTTGCAAGAAAATCTGATCCTGTGTGAGAAAACCTTGGCTGAGTATTTGGAAACTAAGAGACTTATTCCCGAGATTCTACTTTGTATCATCAGCTGATCTATTAGACATTCTCTCTAATGGAAACAATCCACCAGTGGTAAGTATATTGCTTTCATTAAATTTTCTCCGTTAATTAGTCTAATGAAATTATTTAAAATTCTTACCACATCCATTTATTTATAACTTGTGCCAACAAAATATACAAGATGCTCCTTCTCCTTGTTATAAAGGATTCTATTACTTCCAAGACTTCAGTCATTTGAGAGAAAAACACACTAAAGGTTTTATTAGATTTACAAACATTGGCCAAAACACCCTAAATAAACTGATACCTTTGTTAATAGAGTGAAGTCTAAATAAATCGAATCAAAATGCTGTTGAATATTCAGCTCTATTGTTGTACGTTTAATATTTATATACAAACTAACTATTTATTAAATCAATATATATCACGGTTTACAGTAATGGTATTAGCATTAACTGTAAAAATGTATAAAATTTTTTTCATTTTTTTCATTTTCATATTATAAATATTAACTTGAAAACTATCCCCCAATCTGTACGTTACTAGCTTACTAGATCAAATTCATGTGGTCAAATGTCCAATGAACAGAAAAACACACAAATACGATGGACATAACTCGATGTAAAGTTCTCAGAGTTTTTGCTCCTAATACATTTCTATCACGTACAAGTCAGATGGAACTACATGTATTTTGTATAAGAATGTCTGTATAATACCAACTCTGTGTTGCCTTATGGTGTTCGGTTACTATTTCCGGCATTAACGTTAAAACATCCGACGTTTAATTTGTACTGTTAATCTCTGAAATATTTACTTACCTTTATTTTTGGTAAACCATTTTTTCAGACAACAAAACATATTTTACACTCATCTAATTCTCAAAATATCAAAACCATGTCAATAATATCCCAAAAATTATTTTAAATCAGGACAGGATAGAGTTAGGTGATAATTGACCAATTCGCCATATGCTGCATAATATATTATGTATATAAATATAATAACACCACGTGTGTCATGTCAATGAGAAAACAACACGTTTCAAATATGGATTTATAATCTAGGTCTGGACGTAATCTTTTATAGATATATATATAAATCGAAAATTTGTTACATTTTAGATAAATATGAATAAAAAATGTGACAAAAGCACAGATACGACAAAACATTGTAGCAAATGTTAAAAAAAAACAGGAACGACCAAACATTGCACTGGTACGATCAACCGTTGTATCAAGTGCAAAAAAAAAAACCAAGTATGACCAACCCAGCGTTGCATCAAGTTTATAAAATGCTAGGAGGCACCGGTTCCAAGCAAGCATTAAGTAATTTAAAAAATATCCTGACCCGGTACAGAAATCCCTTTCTTTATTTCACGCAATATTTCGAATAAATTCTTACACAATAAGGTCATGAACGAATGTAGCAAAACATGACCTCATGCAATGCCTAAAGCTAGCTGTGTGCAGAAGTTCAGTGTTGAAAATGCAAGAAGACTTTTAGTTGTGTTTCAAACTGAAATTAGCGTTCGGTGACCTGTAGTTGTTTACTTCTACGTCATTTGGTCTCGGGGGGGGGGGGGAGTGTCGTTCTATGGGGGAGTGTCGGTCTCTGGGGGGGGGGGAGTGTCGTTCTATGGGGGAGTGTCGGTCTCTGGGGGGGGGGGGGGAGTGTCGTTCTATGGGGGAGTGTCGATCTCTGGGGGAGTGTCGGTCTCTGGGGGGAGTGTCGTTCTATGGGGGAGTGTCGTTCTCTGGGGGAGTGTCGGTCTCTGGGGGAGTGTCGTTCTATGGGCAATCCTCGAGGGGAAATCCTAACATATCTTTTTATTCATCTATATATATATCAAATAAAAACAAACAATGAACGTTAAATCCACAAGAAACTGTTGATTTGAGATCATTGGAAATGACAGAGAACACAATCGGTTGCAATATGTAAGACCTGTTGGACCTCACGATGCAGCTTACAGAGGGGCCAACAATCCAGTGTCCAAATGTATTGAAAGCTGAATTTGTATCATAACAACACGTTTGTTTGTTTTATAAAAAAAACAAATCCTTTTATATTTAATGTTTATTCGAATCAATTGCTAAATTTTATGGTTAAATGGAATAAAGGACACCTATGCCACTGTCACACGCCTAAAGCAAAATAAAGAGTAGTGGTATTCAGCCAATTAAAAAGTCACAATGGACACTAACAGTATACAAACCTTTCTTAGCACCTGAGATCATCCCCAGGTATTGGTGGGGTACGTGTTGCTCAGTCTTTAGTTTTCTATGTTGTGTTTTGTGTACTGTTGTTTGTCTTTTTCTTTTTTAACCATGGCATTGTCAGTTTATTTTCGACTTATGAATTTGAATGTACCTTTGGTATCCTTCGCCTCTCTTTTTCTGTAGTATTATAAAGCTAAGAGAGAGAGAATATGCGAATTGGATTCATACGTACATTTTACTGGTGCATGGGTCTAGAAAGGATAGTAGTGATACAGCCAACAGAATGGAGACAAGACACACATGAGACAAACGAGTACAAGTTAGATATACATACCTTTTACTGGTGCATGGGTCTGAAAAGGACAGTAGTGATACAACCAACATAATGGAGACAAGACACACATGAGACAAACGAGTACAAGTTAGATATACATACCTTTTACTGGTGTATGGGTCTGGAAAGGACAGTAGTGATACAGCCAACAGAATGGAGACAAGACACACATGAGACACACGAGTACAAACAACAGGAAGAGACCAGCGCTGGCGATGATAAGAAGTTTATCCCAAGGATCTAATGTAATAACAGCTGCTGATGCTTCTGTTGTGATGGAGAACATGATACTTCCATCAATACGTGATATCAAACCTGAAAAAGTAATAATATAGTTGATAACACGAGGTAACGATCATGAAAAAGAAAAATGCAGGTGATTTCAAGCCTGAAAATGGTAGAGAAACAATTATTTATATGTGATATCAAACCTGAAAATGGTAACTTCATTGGAACTTTGGTGGATAGTTTTCTCATTGGCAATCATACCACATCTACTTATTTTTAAACAATAATTTATACGTGATATCAAACCTGAAAAAAGTAATTACACTGTTACTAATACGCGATATCAAACTTGTAAAAAGATACATATAGGTTTTGAGAGCTTGGTAAAATTTAAATGTGAAGCATATACTAATATATAAGGTAAGTGTAATAAATCGTAAAAAATATGAGATTACTCAAGTATTAAATGATAGAACAAGGGATATTGACTGTCATAGTCTTGACGTGATAAAACATGTTTTGATGTGGAAGACTATGAAAAGTATGCTGCCAATTTTGGTACATTTCTGGCAACCTCCATCAGATACTCTCGAGACTCGATGTTTTGGGCTAAAACTGTGGTCGTTTATTTTTTCACAAAGACAACTGACGGTAGGTAACTTTGGACATACAAGTAAGCTAAAATTATGGGTCATATCAGAAGAAAGTAGTGCAAGCCGTACTGCAACTAACACTGAAATCCATTTCCAATGATTAATAAAGAGAAAACAGATATTTGTATAAAGCTGTGAAATTCGTTTCAGATGACTGATTTCGATAAATATGTAATATTGACGTATACTTCCTTGTATTAAAAATTAATATTGTTTACACAGATGTTACCTAGCTATTTAGAGCGGTTAGAGCGACCTGCATTTTTATATGTGTCTTTTTTTTTTAAATTTTGACTGAAACTTTGCACTTTATTTAGTATATATGAATTCTCTACGAAATAACAATTACATCAATCGAAACCAACCATCGTTTCAGTAAAATCATCTTGCTTCAATGTGCTATGATTTTAGGCAACAGTAATTAACCAAAATCTTATAAATCAGTTAAAAAGATACAAATAAAAGTAAAAACGAAAAGTTAAGGAAAACGTTCGAACTCCAAACAGAGGAGAGTGGGAGTAAAAATAAGAAATAGACAAAACCATATCTGTATCTTTTGGAATAATATATTCAGACATTCAAACAGGTTTCATTCAGTTTGGTTTTCTGTTATTCTGATTATTTTCGATTCCAGTTACGTTGTGTTATTCTACTTTCAAATAAATTAGAAACGCGTGACGTACAATAAAAAATCGTATAACACTTCAGCAAACAAAGGGCGTTTCAAAAACCAGTTAGACTCTACTATATATATACAAATGTTTATAAAAAGTTTGATGCGAATGGCAAAGAACATGCATGAAAAACGGGGGGAAAACCACTTACAAGGCTAGTCCCCAATGGTATCATCAGCTCAGTAGTTACAACTCTGGTATTGACATGATTTATTGATAACATTCCTTAAGCACATTTTTAGCACTTAACTTATTTAAGTACTTATACATCCTTAATTTTAATTTTTTTTGGTTTTAGCGTTCCTAATGAAGATAAATCCTGAAAGGCGCTTCGAACTCACCAAATTCATTGACTTTTGTTTTCATTTTGTCATAAAAAGAGCAGCCTAAACTTACATATAGACATAACATTCAACAAAGCCAAATGCAAAACCAAAAGAAAAAGGGCAACCCAAAAAAAGGGATATGCAAATACTAAATAAGCTTTCATAATTGCCTTCTCTGCATGTTTTTTCATGTGTACTTATATCTTTTCACCATACTTTTAATGTCAACTACTGAATCGTGAAATTTCATCAAATGTTTCCGCCTGGCTATATTGCGCCGTTCATTCATTTACGCTCTAAATATGAATTAACACTGACCTTCCTTCTCAACCATGTTGTTGACATTTTAAAGATTTATCAATCTAGTATCTAAGATTGTCCTTATCACTACAGAAAAGTTGAAAAATTGTTGTCCCACATAATTCTCCTTTAGAAAAGAACGATCGCATAATTTGTACTATACACATTCTTCTCCACACAATGTCAATGATATCATTAGATCATGATGGTTGTAATTTCACATATAACAGTATAGTAGAGTTATTATAATCATCTTGAAATGTTTTTACTTTTCAGAATTGTTAAATCAAGTTTAACTTTTATTCCAACTATCCCCAGTGCTTTTTTAAAAAATCAAAACATTCGGTCGAAACCTTTCAAACATACAATTGTTTAATAATAAATACAGGGAATCAGTACTGAAACAGCTGACATTTAGCTTCAGGCATTTACTATGGTATAAAATAATTTTAATCATGAAATATAATACTATTGATAATAGTACCCTCCAATTTTATGTTATTAAATACAATGACCTGTCGGATATTGAGCCTTCCGCAAGTCATATGACATATTGTTATTAGCGTAAACAGATGCAATAATAAAGGATAGGAAAATCAGGAAGAAACAAATATTTGGGAAAAAATATACAGTTAACTAAATAGTAAGAAGGGAATACCAGCTCGTAGTATATTTCAGTGTTAGGGATATCAAATTAAAATACACAAAAAGAACAACATATTTCAATGTCATTTAATACAAATCAAACTCATTGGACTTTGCATTCTCTGCACAATATAATTTTAATATTTAACTATTCCAAAACTTTCATAGAAAGATGAAAAGTGACATATATGTACATAAAATACTTAACATAAATGACTTGTCCATTTCTCTTTAATTAGAAAAAAAATGGGATCTCAACGATTGACCATATTCTAAAACAAATCACTTCTTCACTTTTTCTACTTTCCAAAATGGATTTATTCTAACATTTATCCGACTTTTATTTACTTATATTGACGTTAGAAGTGATTACCTTTGTATGTGCATGCTCAATCTTATTCAATATTGCTATCATTTTGTGTATAGAAGAATATTAAATATGCTGGAATTAAACGGTCTATGAATCACTCGCATGGATAACGTAGATCATGATAAACAGATTTTGGATACTATTCTAACGACTTTTTATTCCGTTTGGAATTAAGTATTCCCGAAGAAAATCGTCTATTAAGAAATATGTGTAAGCGTGAGTAAGCATACAATATGTTAATAAAAAGATGTGGTATGATTGCCGATGAGACATCAAAAAATTAAATTTGTGTGAGTAAGTATAAATAAATAAGAAGTTGTGGTATGGTTGCCAATGAGACGAGTATCCACTATAGATGTAAGCAACAATAGGTCACTGTACGGCCTTCAACAATGAACAATACCAATACCGTGTAGTCAGCTATCAACAACTTTCGTTCAACCAATGGATTGGATTCTCAAATCAATATCCCCGATAGTATAAAATTAATAAATCGTTTTTGTGAATATGTTATTGGACAATTCAACCTTGACAGATGTATGCCCTTACCTGAGTATGCAGATGAATTTTTCACGAGTTATTTTTTTTTCTTTTTAAATGTTCTTTGCGACTTACTATTCGTCGTTGAGGACAATACCGTAACCCTTTCTCAAGTTGGGGGGTGGGGGGGGGGGGGGGATGATTTGCTGTCAACTATATTCGAACATAAGACAATTTGCTCTTTGAGCATATTACAATTCAACATATATTACCAGGTACATTCTTTTGTCTAGTGCACATGTGGGATACTGCACATTTATAGTTACTTTTGCATTTGACTTATATATGTAAAAGTAACCAACAGCAAATATTGGGTAAAAACATACATGAGCACTGATGCACAACAAAGTACTTATCTAATCAATTAAATGAAATGATTTTTGACAAATCAAATACCAAATAGTAAATACTATAATAGAAAATTGCATAATAGAATTTTCGGAACGGGACGTCTTCAAGTTAACTTTTAATGACTTTTAACTGACCCATATCCAACAGAATTTTTTTTTCGGAAAAATTAACTTCAATAAGTCTATGAGAATTTTAAAAATGACATATTATTCAGTTAGTGAAAAGAAAAAAAGTAACATCTTTTATTTGAAAAAAAAATGAAGTAACACTAATGAGTTTATTTTGTGAAATAAAAAGAATCTACATATAACCATCGCACTTTAAATAATCTTTATATAACTGCTTGTCAAAAAAGAGAGAATTTTGACTATTCACAAAGTTATAAATTGCTTCTTTTTAATAGAGATGAATGGTTAAGAAATTTCATATCCGACACGTAGCAAGTCCAAATCACTTAATATTTCGCAATCATGTTTGTGTCAGAGTGTCAGATGAATACGACAACACTTTAAGAGGGCGGATGGAAGTAAATTGCTTATAACAGCAATGACTCTTTCTTCAAAGTCAACATGAACAGCAGGTAGGTAAAAAAAAATTTCGGTCTCCACAAATTAAAACAATCTGAGATAAACTATGATGGAAGAGTTCCCGGACTTTCAAAACAATAGAATGAACATAAGAGGAATATAGTTTCTATATAAATACAATAATGGTATAAAGCTGCTAAAAAGATAGTACAAAGTTTTGAGTGTTCCATCCATAACAAATGCGTTTTATCTATGTTTTACTTGTATTTTTTTTACTGATTTTGTTGTATGTACGGGTTAACTTTCAAAAAATGTGTGATTATCATCCTTTGACTTTGAAAAATTTTGTTAAGATTACAGGTTAACTTTCATTGATGAAAAGCGCAAATGTCTGGTTAATTTGGTTCAGGTAAATCAAAGTTTAAAGTGCAAATGGCCATATTGTTTGAGCGCAAGTGTCCTTTTGTGTTGCAGTGCGCCCATGATTTTCATTTCTTTGAAACTGACTACTAACAAATGTGAACTATAGTTAATATCAACAGCTAAATGTCATTTCTTTCAGATGAGTCAGAACAGTTTCAAGGTAACGATGAAAAACGTATTAGTTTGTAATAGAACCGTGGATATTTAGAGTTAAAGTATATATTGATTGATTGATTGGTGATTGCTTTACGCCGTTAAACTGTATATATACTTTATAT